ACGCATAGAAGGAGACATCTCCGACCCCATAAAGTATATATATTCTTGATCAGTATCAACAGCCGAGTAGATATTTTATTTATTTATTTATTTATTTTATTTAATTATTTATTTATTAGTGGTCGACAAAACGAGTGTCTTCCTAATTATTCAATACATTTTATATACAATTATGAAAATTAAATGCTAAAAGCCTAGTTAGGGAACACAAATTTCTAATAGCATCACCGACCGATGGAGGTGTTTTATTTGCCAGTCCGGCCAGATGTGCCCCTTTTCACAGCTAATTTTGTCAGTGACGCCATTAGAGCCTACATCTAAGAAGAAGGGTGTAAGTAGAAAAAAGTGTTCTTAACTAAAATTAAAAATAATCTTAATTTGCTATATTATTTAAGAATATACCATAAATAGGAGAAAAGAAAGTAAGAAGATTGTTAATAAAGTAAAGAACTGTATGCTAGATATACAGAGTGTTAAGTAGATAGGATAAAGAGATAGTAATGGGAAAGTTATGGGTAATGGGTAATTTTTTTTTTATTTTATTTCTATTAAGTGTAGAACCTGTACAATCATAATTTAGTACCTTAACAACACATGGATGGCAAATGTAATTAAAAACCGAACCCCATACCGCTGTATGAAGATTTTAGATAGTAGTAGTAGTAGTCTTACTGTCGTCCAATCGTGTTGGCAAAACCTTGCCGTTTAAGTCGCCTTGAAGGTCGGGCAGGGAGTAGTCCTCTTGCGAGCAGGGAGCGGTGTCTCAGCAATCTTTCGCTGTATCTGCTTGTGTGCCTTCCAATCTGTTCCTCGACTGTATGCAGTTTGAGATCTTTATGGAGCGTGGAACCGAGTACGTACCAGGGACAGTTCGTTATCTGACGTAGTACCCGATTCTGCAATACCTGTATACGTTTATAATTGGATTTGGTGCAATCCCCCAAATCTGCACTCCATAAAGCCATATTGGCAAAATATAGTGCACGTATACAGCTCTTTTGCATCTAAGCGGCAAGGTGCTTTTTTTATTGTTGAGCCACCGCAGTTGTTGCAATCTGTGACGACATTTTTTTACCGTAGTTTTGAGGTGTGATCCAAAGGTAAGGCGCTTGTCCAAGGTGATGCCGAGATACTTGGCTTGTGACGGCTGCTCCAGGGTAACTTCCTCTAGCTGGATAGGAGGGGTATGCATCAGCCTTTTGAGAGTGAAACATGGGTTTATTGTTTTGAGCGGGTTAACCTTCAAATTCCATCGTTTGTACCAAGCTGCGAGATTATCAAGATATCCCTGTAGTCCATTACTTGCTTCTACGCGACTTTTGGAATTATAAATGACTGCGATGTCATCTGCATATGTCGCAATAATAGCCTTAGAGGGAGCTTCCATATGTTGAGAGGTGGGGCTGGGTATATCTGAAGTATACAAGGATATCCTGCTCGCATAGTATAAGTGGACGAGTATGTGTCCCTTACCTTGAACTCTCGTCCTTCCAGATATGACCTTAAAAGACCATAGTACGGTGCAGGTAAAAGGTTTTTTATTTTGCACAGTAATCCATCGTGCCACACCTTGTCGAACGATTGTTGCATGTCAATGAAGACAGCGTTGGAGAACTCTAGGTCGTCAAAAGCCTGCATGATGTGTTTCACCAATCTATGGACCTGTTCCACAGTGCCGTGTCCCTCTCGAAAGCCGAATTGGTGATCCGGCAAGATATTGCATTGGCTTATTATGGCAGTAATCCGATTGGCAATAGTCCCCTCCCATAATATAGACAGGGAGTGTAAGAGACTTATTGGCCGATACGACTCAGGATCAACTTCTGGTTTCCCTGGCTTGTGAATCATCAGAATCGCTGCTAATTTCCATTGCTTTGGGAACACTTGGAGCCTGATAATAGCATTAAAAATTAATACAATATAGAGGAGCGCTCTTGTAGGCAGGGCTTTCAACGTAGCATTACAAGTCCTATCGATACCCGGAGTCTTATATTTCGGCAATAACTGGATCGCTTCAGTTATTTCTTCAATCCTTATAGGATCAATAGGCAGGGACATCTACAGTGGGGTCTGGAGATTCTGATGGGTCTCCCTAGGCTGCTCTATCGTAGCAAAGTCGTAAGGAGCGAAACGAGCCTCTAGATGATAACCGAAAGCATTAGCCTGTTCCCTTTCGTTTTTAGCAAGTTCGCCACCAGGACATCGTACAGGAACCTGTCTAAAGGATTATCGTTTAAGCGATTTTGTGCATTTCTATAGAGAGTAGTTCGCATCGACGGTGTAGTCCATGGAAGCCAGTTTTTGCTCGAAGAAATCACTTCTGAGTTCCCTTAAGAGGAGACGTAGCTGTTTTGCTGCTCGATTCTTGAGATCGAATTGCCCTTCTTCGGAGGCGCCTCTTTGTTCTAATTAGATCTTTAGCTTCCATCGTGAGAACAATGCCATAACTAATGGGGCGTGACTCGGGACTGGGGTTGTGGCAGTAGCAGCTCTATGTATATTTTCTGTTAGAAAATCTACCGCGTTCTCAATGTCTTCTCCAGAGTCCAGAGTCGAATTTAATTGAATGGAGCATTCAAGATGTTGTCTGAAAGCCATGATGTCAGTACGGTTGGTGATTAACTGAGGGGTTGGCCTGACATTGGAACCATCTGTTTGCAAATTTACAACAAGGACTATATGGTCAGAGTCCAAGTCCCAGCTTTGGCAGATATTTGCTTGAGAATCCAGTATACCATGGTATAATGCGAAATCAATGCAAGTAGGTGTGTGTCTGGACACATATGGATATCTAGTTGGTGATCCTGTTGCAAGAATTTTAGCTCCTCTGGCTGTAATGGCTTCGGCTAGTTCCCGGCCCCTGGGTGAATTGTAGGTATCTCCCCACAGCCAATGTCGCGCATTCCAGTCTCCACCAATCAGATACCTTTGGCCGCAAGAAGCGAGTATGTCACTGAAGTGCCTCTCTTCGATTCTATTCTTTGGTGGACAGTGTATGGCACTATATACCAAACCTGTGGCAACTTTTATTGAAGACATTTGTATGGTTCGCGTTTCAATGACCCTTTGTGGAAAATGGCGGAGAGAACTCCTCACGAATACCGGCTCCTCCGCCGCCGTGATTGTGACTTGCTGGCTTGTAAGCTGGATAGAAGGTATACCCGAATATATTGACTGTTTCCCCTCGGTTTAGTCTGATCTCATTTAAGAGGAGAATATCGACGTTGTTGTTGTGCACGAAGAGCTCAACTTCTCTGGCTTTTCCTGCAATGCCATTGACATTCCAGATAAGGATCTTGAGTGAATTCATTGTGACGCTGAGGTGTTTATATAGAGCTGGCGAGTCGATGTATGTATTCATGTTGGCCATTTCATGAACCATTTTCTCGAGCCGTTCTAGTCGTTGACTGTTTTGCTTGTTTTGTTGTTGTTGTTCCCGTTGCTGCTCCTGAAGCTATAAGAGGAATTGCTGCTGCTGCTGTATTTGCAGCTGTTGTTGCCATTTCAAAAATTGCTGTTGCTGTTGTTCCAATAGTGACTGAACGTCAACTGGATGCTGCTGCTGCATAATATTTTCTTTTGGTAGTTGCGCTTGAAGATCATGTAGACGGCGCTGGGCAGGTTGGTTGTCGTTTCTTGCTATTGAGGCATAGGACTTGCCTCCATTATTGACGCTAGAATTGTTAGGGATTTGTTGTGTTTGTTGCTGTCGAGTTGGTTGTTGCTGCTGCTGTTTTCGTTGTGGTTGTATCTGCTTTGCTTGATTTTTATCCCTGCTGATCTGTCTGGACGGCAACGTGGAAGACTGTTGCTTCATTGCAGAGCCCATCGATCGTCTAAGATACTCCTGGTACCACTGGCATCCTTTATAGCTTGCCATATGATTCCCATTACAGTGGATACAGGTAGGCTGTTCATCTTGGGAACGTGCGCATAGCTTGGTGAGATGATCTTCACCACATCGTGCACAATTGGGATGACGACGGCAGTATTTGGCTGTGTGACCGTATTCCTGGCATCGTGCGCATTGGGCGATTTCAGATGTTTTGCGCATCCTTTCTATACTCACTTTTGTCGGCAAAGTGTTTTGATATCATATATTTCATTAATTTTAGCGCATGGCCTAATATTAATGAAGAATATATTGAGCTTTTCGTCTTTGTTAATCCTTGATCTTGGGTTATGTACCTGCAGAGCATCAAATCCATTTCTTTTAAAATTGGAAATAATTTCGTGGCTTAAAGTGCTATGGTGAAGCCCCCTAACTACAATTCTGTAGGGTTTCTCTTCCTTCAATTGGTATGTATGAAACTCAATACCAATACCATCAAAATGCTTAACAATAGCTCTGTAAGTGTCACTGTCTTTGGGAAATATTCTGGCTGTTTCTCCTTGGCTGACTTTGACTGCCACGTTATCTAGGCTAGTGACCTCCATAATGAGTTCAAAGAGATCGTTAAAATCAGCAATACTCACAACTATTTGCGGTGGCTTTGGGGTATTGTTAAGATGATTGTTCGTATTGGATACGTTGTGTTGTGAGTTGTTGGCTGTGTCACTTGCATCAGTACTATCATTAGTAATATTCTGATGAGCAGCCTCAGAAGCTCTAGTAGGACCTTCATTTGTAACTCTAGAACTTTCGTCAACATGGCTTTCACTGGTAACTTCCATGTCCATATCCATGTCTAGCAAGGCAAACCTGTTGCTAGAGTTTGCCATGCTAGTTGATGCTGAGGGTGCGACCAGCTTCAAATCTTTGTTCGGCCTCGTAACGGTTGTATTGGGAGATAAAGATTTCTTCCTCTTATTTTTCAATTTTTTTTGGTCTGCCACCAATTTTGTAGCAGCTCCACTGAGTGTAGGAGCGGCAATGTCTGAGGAGTGTTGGGTGCCACAAGCTCCTTGGTTATCCATGCTTCCGCCAGGGCTCATACTGCTGATTGCAGCAGTTGCCGCAGTTGCCGTGGTGTATGTAGGATTACTAGTAGCACTAGTAAATTACTGACGCTTATTAACTAACGTTCATGTGTTGTGAATGGGATTTTGAACATTATTGCAATACATTTCACATACATGAAAATTTTGTTACAAAAAAGAGGACATTCGTTGAATGTACATAGTGATTGGTGTAACTATACAGAAAAAAAAATTAAATTATATTTATGTTGTTTAGGCGCGAAAAGAAATATGCTACGTAAAATTGATGATTATTATTGTTCATCTCCTTCTCCTCCTGTCTAATTGCCAATCGCCAAGATTTACGAGCCAACAATAATGTTGTTAATGGGAATATGTATCAGCTTAACAAAGAATCCAATGAAGCCCATGATGCAGAAGCCAATGGCAGTGGCAATGGCAATCTTTTGGAATTCCTTGCGGTCGGGCTTCATGCAGCGCTTGACCAGACGAATGGAGTCCTTGGCAAATGCACGACCAGGCTCAGCGAATTTCACAACTTTGTCCATGGCTACGTTTAATGTGTGATATTTGAGAGCTCCGTTTACTTTGATAATTTCCACACGAATGTTAGTGTTGTGGTTACTGTGCTGATGTTCTGAGTATCAGTACATAAAAGGCGGTTAAAAAACTCTGTCCTGATCTCCAATGGTGATTTCCCAGCTACTTGGCGCATTAATTCATAATCAATCTGCTTATTACTAAGCTGAGAGTTAGAAAAAAGGTTATCATCCATTTTAATTTGATTTGTGTTACTTAGCTGATAAGCGCGGCGTTTATTGCCCCTCTTGTGCGGATGCGCGCAGAGAGAGGGATAATGTTCTGCCCAAACGGGCAGCGAGTGCAGTCTTGTCGCACTACACGTGTGTTTTGTTGTTGTCAAACTGCCGACACTGCACGTGGCAGCGTCCGAAATTTACGGCTTGTGCTATTTTAGCACACTTATGTAGATTGCACAATAGATCAACACTGGCTTTGTCTATGCACGACTCTACCGTTCTTGATGAGAGTAGATTAGCGACCGGTAATGGGTAATTAAAGTAATAATATAGCCATGTCCGTCTGTCCGTCTGTCTGTTTCTATGCGAACTAGTCTCTCAGTTTTAAAGCTATCTTTATGAAACTCTGTTGCACGCAGTTCATATGTCAAAACCAGCTGGATCGGACCACTATATCATATAGCTGCCATAGGAACGATCGGTCGAAAAGTAGGTTCTTGTATGAAAAACATTTTTGTTTATAAAGATATCTTGACCAAACTCGGTACTTATTAGTTTAACTACGCTCCCAATATATATGCAAAATCCTATTAAGATCGGACAACTATATCATATAGCTGCCATAGGAACGATCGGTCGAAAATTAAGTTTTTGTATGGAAAATTTTTATGTTTTTCAAGATATCTTGACCAACCTCGGTATTTATTAGTTTAACTACGCTCCCCATATATATGCAAAATCCTATTAAGATCGGCCAACTATATCATATAGCTGCCATAGGAACGATCGGTCGAAAATTAAGTTTTTGTATGGAAAATTTTTATGTTTTTCAAGATATCTTGACCAACCTCGGTATTTATTAGTTGAACTACGCTCCCCATATATATGCAAAATCCTATTAAGATCGGCCAACTATATCATATAGCTGCCATAGGAACGATCGGTCGAAAAGTAGGTTCTTGTATGAAAAACATTTTTGTTTTTTAAGATATCTTGACCAAACTCGGTATTTATTAGTTTAACTACGCTGCCAATATATATGCAAAATCCTATTAAGATCGGACAACTATATCATATAGCTGTCATAGGAACGATCGGTCGAAAGTTAAGTTTTTGTATGGAAAATTTTTATGTTTTTCAAGATATCTTGACCAAACTCGGTATTTATTAGTTTAACTACGCTCCCAATATATATGCAAAATCCTATTAAGATCGGACAACTATATTATATAGCTGCTATTGGAACGATCGGTCGAAAATTAAGTTGTTGTATGAAAAACTTTTTGGTTTTCAAGATTTTTTTGTCTGTGCTTCTTAGATATGAGCATTATGAGTCGTCTGATGTGTTAGTTTCGACGCTTTGGCTTAATTTTACTGAAGCAACTGTGGGAGCGCAAGCAAGTGCAAAAAAATCAAATCCTTTGCACTCTGATTGGACACCAATTGAAAGAGTTTTAAGAACATTTCAATATAGGAAAAATGATCAAGTAACAATTGAACGCTTGCAATTTCCAGTGGTTCCTGTTGAAGCAATAACCATCCACAAGAGTCAGGGAGCAACCTACAAAAAAGTTGCAGTGCATTTGCAAGACGGTATGAGCCGTGCAGCTCTATACGTAGCTTATAGCAGTGCATCTGGGCTTTTCCTCATAGGAAAGTTTAATCCGCCTAGAGAAATAAAAGCTACCGATCCCGTCCATATTGAGTTGGAAAAACTCCGGGGCGAGAAAAATTGACCACCCACTATCAGATATATTTTGAGAGAGTGGAAGGAAATATTTTAACATATTTCCATAATATTATAAACACAGCAGATATTTTATGTTTTGTAGAGACTTGGAGTAGAGAAGGCCAAGTATATAATATAGACGGCTTTGACATACTCGGTCGAATCGATGGTAGCATGTGTACAGGTAGTACTAGACCACCTGGTGGTAAAATTGTTTATGCAAAGTCGTACATTGCACAAAGTGCTTAAATATTATCTGTGGTTAATATTAATCTGGAACATAATAAAGTTTGCCAAATCCTTATATTTCAACACCTAGATACCAAATATGTAGTTGTTTATAGAAACCCGTCCTTCTCCATTTCCGAATTTCGACAATTATTTTTAGAACACTTAGAGCAGGAGCTTAATAATCACAGTAAAATAGTTATTTTGGGAGATTTCAATTCATGCCGAGCTAGAGTTAGAGAACAGTTAGAAATTAGATTAAACGAGTTTGGGATATCGTCTCTTTTGCGTGGGGTACCTACAACAAACAGCTTACTGAAATAGATTGGGTATTTTCGACTAACGGTCTGGACAATAAAGCCCAGGTGTATGAAACGGCATATAGCTACCACGATGGTATTTTCGTTTTTAATAGTTAGGCAACTTTTGATAAATTTATCTTTTGTGTGATGGATCAAAAACATATATATATATATAAATATTCTTCGACTGTTCGCTTTCGATCACATCTTTTTTTTGACAAGGACATGGATGTAAGCCAGACATAAGGAAGCACAAAGTGCTCAGAATTCGTGATAACCGAAAAGGTTCGGTCTGCAAGGGTATTAAATCTTCGGCGTGCCGAAGATAGCCCTTTTTTCTCGTTTTGAACTTTATTTTACTACAGGCAAATAAGAAATCCCAAGAGAGATAAGGAGAAGGATACAAATTTTGTGATAAACAAGTCAGCAGTCAAGAATATGCACGCATATATCCCACCACCCAAAGCGGAGTGCGCTTGGTGACAAAGTACTTATTGATATGCAAGGGTGCATGCATTGCGAAGAGTTTACTCAACAACGGCAATGACGCAGTCATATCAATTAAAATACTGCTTGACTTAAAACCCGTATCTAAGCACGCAATGTTTTTGCGCTTTTTTCTACCCTTTGTTGTTGCTGTTGGCTGAATAACCGCAGAAAATGAGACTTTTGTGGTTGCCAGGCTGGCAAGAGATTCAGGCAAAGTTTGGCGATTTAACGCACACACATTCACACCCTGACATACATACACCAAAACATATTGGGGTTTCTGCTGAAGACAGTTTTGATAGCTTTCAACAAGGCTGCATGCGATTTTGTCGAAGTGCAGCAGCTCGATACTGAAGCCATTTGAGTATAACAAGAATATATAAGCAAAAAAGTCTTTAGACGAACTGACACACCTGGCGTATACGCAACGCAGATGGCAGATAATTTAATTAATCATACGCACCAACTACCGGCCATGTCAATCAGCCACATAAAATACTCATAAAGAGGCAATAAGAGAAAAATTCATTATTTTTACTAAGGTCTGTGTTCTTCTGAGCAGTAAAACGCTTCTTTGTTTAACTAAACATATCATTTACAATGGAAGACTCTTAAAAATTAAAGACTAAAATAAGTGCTGCACAATTGTCTTCATATATATTTGATTTATGAAACATTATTATTTAGATTTTGAAACATTAAACATATTGTAGAGGGTATCTGTTAGACGCTTCCCTCGAGCAGTTTTGTTTTTCTGCTTCTTTTTAATATCGCCGTGATTCGCTCTACACAAATTGTGTGCAACAGCAGCTGGAACACTGGCAAACGCCAAACGGCAACAGTTAAATAAATCAAATCCATTTCACGCTATTCATCGTACGACATCTAGCAGCAACAGGAATAACATGTGGTAGATTTGGGTTTCGAATAGGGAGGTGGTTTTGAGCTCTAGTTTGTGAGCTTCAACGTGATGCAGCAGGGGCTTCGTGATTTCATAATTGAATTAATCTCATTATGTAGATGGCAACAGTTTTACCTTTCGTTTCGTATCGCTGTGCAGAAAACAAAATGGCGGACAGTGCCGGGCCGTGCAACTTCCGGTGGCCCAACGAGCCAAGCTTAAGCTGCCTGCCAGCCAGGAATATAAAGAGTAAACTCCGGATTTTTGCTGTTGCCAGTGCTGTTGTTTTCGATGCCGTTGGCTTTTGCCTTGCTGTCGCTTGAACTAAATAAATTGAATTTCGCTCCTATGCCCGGTCTTGACATTTGCTTTCAAATTCACGCAGTCTCAAGCCAAGTCAAAGTAAACTGGTGAGCACGACCCAAGGTTCTGAAAATCAGAACATTTTCTAAAATTTATATAAATAATTTTTGTGAGTGCATTCTTTGGTAAGCTTGTACTGGATTTAAATTGTCAAAGTTGCAGTTGGCTTGGTAAATGTTGTTGTTGCTGCGCGGTTGATTTGCTTTACTTCCTGGGTATAAGCGCAACCCACCGGTATTCCTTATAGGTTTAATCAACGTTTCGCTGTATTCCTGCTTTTTAAACAAATCCAAAATATCTTTAATGTACTTGTGAGCCAATATGTTTCCTATTTATATTTATACCCAAACTGTTAACTGAAAATTAAAGAGAGTGAGAAGTTTGCGCTGCTGAGTTGCAAAACCATTACCGAGTATTCGTTTATATGAAGCAATCAAAAATACCAGAAAACCAATATTTACAAAAATTACAGTAGTTGGTTTAATTGATATTTGTTGTTTGCCGAAATTTTCACTTTTAATAAATATTTCTTAACCGAACTTGGTTAATCTCTAAGCAAAAATGCGGACAAAGACATTTTCATCTATAAATATCTCTTAAAATTATCTCTTATATAGAAAAAGCAACGATAAAAAATATATATTTTTGGAAAATATTTTCAAGTTTTTCTAAATGGACCAGAACAAATAAGACGACAATTAGAGCCGTTTTACCTTTTTTGTTCTAGCTGTTGCTCTTTAAATAAAAGGGCAAACAGAACAAAATATTCAATATGCATGTTAAATGATAAAGGCTATGGAAATCTTGAAGCTTAACACGAAGAAAAGCTTGAA